GCTTGATAGAGAGAAAGTGATCAAGAGAGCACACAAGTGGGGGGAGGGGCAGAGGAAGAGGGAAAAGCAGACCCCGCACTGAGCAGGGAGACAAGGGGGATTGGATGCCAGGACCCTGAGACTAGGACCAGAGCTGAACCAGGTGCTTAACCCTCTGAGCGACCCAGGTGCCCCAAATCAGTAGGTTTTTGTTTTGCTTCACATATTCCAGCCTTGAAGCAAAGAACTGGCAACTGAGAAACTCCAATGGGCACAGATTTAAAAGTCCCAACAAAAGTCTGCTTTCTCTAGTCAAAGGACCAGGAGAAGGACAAGCCACTAAGATAGAAAGCTCTTAGGCAATAATCACTCCACACAAGTCAAACATCACGGAAAAACTTTGGCTTTGCCCCATTCACACCTGCAAATATTAAGTAAGGAGCCTAGATTTCCACCCTCACTGGGCTCTAACAAGGTACCCCAACTCTCCTGCTGGAGAAGTCTCAGAGAAAACTGAGTAGATGCTTCCCACCCTCATCCCTACTGTGTCAGTGGAGATCACAGGAGGAGCCTGGACTTCTACCACCAACTGGTAGTAACAAGGTGCCCTCCTTGCTTCTGTCCTGATAGTGTCAATAGTGTCCTAGAGTCAGGGAGGCCTACTCAAAAGAAGGGATTTTCATCAGTAACCATGACAACCCCTTCAGCTCACAGAGTCAACAGAAGCTACCTGGGGAGCAATAAAATGGCATTCCTACACTTCCCAGCCATGTAGGCATTAGTGGAGACCTAGCAGGGGACAGAATTGCTACTCCTGCCTAACAGTAAGGAAGGAACTACAGAGGCTGAGTGAGAACCTGGGTTTCTAATTCCCACCTTCCTTACCCTACCAAAATGGTATCAGAGGAGGCCCACTAATGTGGAAGGGTTAAATAAGGTCCAAAGTCTCTTAAAATGTCCATTAGTCATTCCAAGAACCAGAAAAGTCTCAAACTAAATGAAAAAAGACAACCAAAAGGCACCAAAACCAAGAAACAATTAGTATCATCTGAGAAAGAATTTAAAACAGATATCCTAAAAATGCTTTAATGACCAATTGTAAACATGCTTGAAAAAATGAAAAAAGAAAATCCCAGCAAACATACAGAAAATATAAACAATATGAAATTTTGGAATTGGAAAACCCAATAACTGAAATAAAAATTATCAGAACAAAGAAGGACATCAATAATGACAAAAGAGCCAATCCACCAAGACATAACAACCCTAAATGTGTATGTACCAAACGGCATAGATGAAAACTACATGAAACAAAATCTGATAGAAATAAAAAGAGAAATGTACAAATTGACAAGCATAGTTGGAGACTCCAAAACCCCTCTTCCTCCCACAATTGATAGAACAACTACAGGGAAGCATAGGAAGGATATAGAACAACTAGAAACATCATTAGCCAACAGGATCTAATCAACATTTAGTAAATATTCTACTAATAAACATCAAAATAAACATTCCTTTCAGTACCCACAGAACCCACACCAAGACAGACCATATACTGAGTCATTAAAACACAAAACAAAACAAAAACTCATCAACTTTGAGAAATTTGAAATCATGCATCATGTGCTCACTAACCACAACCAGAAATCAGTGACAGAAAGATAAGAGGAAAATGTCCAAACACCTAGAAATGAAATGAAATAACACACTTCTCAATAATACATGGGTCAAGTGGAATTTCTAGGAAAATCAAAAAAGTGCACTGAGCTTATGAAAATGAAGATACAATATATCTTGTGCAGTATAAGACAGCTAAAGCAATGCTAGTGGTTAATTTACAGCACTAAATGCATACATTAGAAAAGAGGGAAGTCCTCAAATGCATAATCTAAAATCCTACCTCAAAGGACCTAGAAAAAGAAATTAAAGAGAAAAATCCCAATGCAATCAAAAGGAAGGAAAAAAATAAAAAGATAAGCACATAAGTCAATGAATTGAAAACAAACAAACAAACAAGAAATCTCAAAAATATAAATGATACAATAGCTGGGTTTTTTTTTTTTAAGATTTATTTATTTATTTATTTATTTGACAGATAGAGATCACAAGTAGGCAGAGAGGCAGGCAGAGAGAGAGGAGGAAGCAGGCTCCCTGCTGAGCAGAGAGCCAGATGCGGGGCTCGATCCCAGAACCCTGAGATCACGACCGGAGCCGAAGGCAGAGGCTTAACCCACTGAGCCACCCAGGCGCCCCTAGCTGGTTGTTTAAAATGATGAATAAAAATGACAAATTTTTATCAAGTTTTAACAAAAAAAGATAATAAATGGCCAATATCAATAATGAAATAAGGGATACCACTACAGACCCACTATAAGGTTTGTAGACATTAGACCGCTAGTAGGGTAATACTTCAAATATTCTACATAAAATAGTTTGAACTTTGATAAAATAGAGTAATTCCTTAAAAAAATAAACTAATAAAATACAATAGAAAATAGAAATTTTGAGTAGTATTATAACTGTAAAGAAGTTCAATTCCTAGTTAAAAACTCCTAAAATATACAACTTCGGGCTGCTTTCACTGCAGAATTCTACAAAATACTTTAAAAAGAATTAACAACAATATCCAAATAATCCCTTCCCAAAATATAAAAGAGAAAGAAAAAATTCATCTTATGAAGTTAGTATCACACAGATACCAAAACAAAAACAGTCCAATCAAAAGAAATTTATAGATCAATATCCTTCATGCATATAGATGCCAAAATCTCTAACAAATATAAGTAAATAGAATTAAGCAACATATAAAAAGAATTTTACACCATAACCAAGTGAGGTTTATTCTAGGAATGCAAGGCTAGTTCAATATTTAAAAATCAATCAATATAATCTACTATATTAACCTGCTAAAAAAAAAGTTTATCATATCAATTGACACAGAAAAAGTATTTGACAAAATACCCATTCATAATAAAAACACTCCATAAGATAGGAATAGAGGGGGGACTTTGTCAACTTTATAAAGAATGTCTACAAAATCTATAATTAATACTATATTTAATGTTAAAATAACTAAATGCTGCTCTAAAAAAGAAGAATAAGACGAAAATGTCCATGGCAGGGGCGCCAGGGTGGCTCTGTTGGTTGAGCATCTGACTTTTGATTTCAACTCAGGTCATGATCTTAGCTAAAAACTGTTAGAAAAAAATAATTAAAAACAAAATTGGGGGGTGCCTGGGTGGCTCAGTGGGTTAAGCCTCTGCCTTCAGCTCAGGTCATGATCACAGGGTCCTGGGATTGAGCCCCAAATTGGGCTCTCTGCTCAACAGGGAGCCTGCTTTCCCCTCTCTCTCTGCCTACTTGTGATCTCTCTCTGTCAAATAAATAAACAAAATCTTAAAAAAAAAATTGGGGATCTAGAGCTAGGGAAAAAGCTCTTAAACTCAACACCAAAAACACAATTTGTGAAGGGCAAAGCTGATAAATAGGATCTCATCAAAATTTAAAACTTTAGACCCTGTAAAGAAGATAAAAGAATAAACTACAGATTGGGTGAGAATATCTACAAACCACATACAACAAAAGACTAGTGTCTAGAATTGATAAAGAACTTTCAAAATTCAAGAATCAAAAAAATATATAATTAGAACATGGGGAAAGGAAATTAATAGACATTTTGCTGAGAAGGATCTATACATTTATAGATGGCAAATAAGTACAATATCGTCACCCATTAGGTAAATGCAAGTTAAAACCACAATGAGACACCTATAGGAACATCTAAAAAAAACAAAAAAAAACACAAAAAACAAAAAACACCAATATTAGCAAAGTTGCAGAGATGTATATGGTACATTATGCAAAACGTGTTGGTATTTTCTTACAAAAATAAACATATAATTACCATATATCCTAGCAATTGCATTCTTGGTCATCCAGAGAGATAAAAATTTATACTCACACAAAAACGTATACATGAATATGTATAAGGAGCGTTATTCATAAGAGCCAAAAAGTAAAAACAACTCAGATATCATCCAAAGGGTAAATAGTTAAAGTATGCTAGATCAATACCATAGAACTGTACTCAAAATATAGAAAAACACACTAGTGACACACAAAACAATCAGGATGAATTTCCACAGAATTGTGCTGAATGGAAAAAAATTCTAAAATGTTACATATATAGCTTCTATGCACATGACATTCTTGAAATGACAGAATTAGAGAATTTGAGAACAGATTAGTGATACCAGGTGTTAAGGAAAGGGAGAACGTGGGAGGAAGTAGGTGCGGCTCTAAACAGGCAAAATGGGCAAGCCATGTAGTGATGGAAATGTTCTGTATCTTGATTTTCCAACGTCAGTATGTTGTGATACGTAACTGGTTTTGCAAAAGGACAACATCAGGGAAAACAGGGTCAGGGATACAAGGGATCTCTAACATGTCTTTGTAAGAGCATATGAATCAACAAGAATCTCAAAATAAGCATTAATTAGAACACTCATTAAAAAAAGCATTTTTTTTTTTTTATTATTTGACAGGAGAGATCACAAGTAGGCAGAGAGGCAGGCAGAGAAAGAGAGAGGGGAGGAAGAAGGCTCCCCGCTGAGCAGAGAGCCCGATGAGGGGCTCGATCCCAGGACCCTGAGATCATGACCTGAGCTGAAGGCAGAGGCTTAACCCACTGAGCCACCCATGCGCCCCTGAATTTTTATTTTTATTTCACGGTAGCAAGAAATGTGGCCAATGAGTATCAATTTTGGAAATATGTTGGGATTTTCTCCATGACCTGATGTACATGTGATGTCTGCAAATATCCTCCAAAAAGTTACTCTCAGTAGGGTACAGCAGTCACTCTAAAATGCACCTAACAAACTAAATTTTCTAACCTTTGTGAATAATATTTTTTATATCCCACTTAGATTTTGTTGTTTACTACTTTGGACGGAAATATTGTATCCTTGTAGATTTGTCAAATTACCCTTGTATTTCCATATTTTTTATTCTTCTATATTTGTTTTTGAGTCTCTTCTATTTTATCACCTAAAAGGTAGCAGCACTATCATTTAATATACTTGTACCTTTTTTTTGACAATTGTTTTTCTTTTCTTTTTTCTTTTTTGACATTTTTTTTTTTATTGACTGCATTAGTCTCCATATATTACTTGATATTTTCTCATCATTGAGTTCCTTTTGTCTGGTATATCTTTTGTCTATCCATCTGCCATTATATTTTCATCTTCCTAACTGACCTTTCTTTGTCATGTTAAACATCATAGCCCTGGGTGATGAACTGATCTAAGAAGTCCTTTTAAACAGAAAATGTACCTCAGCTTTATCAGATGTGAACTACTGAGGTTTCAAAGGGCTTTGTTTTGCTTACTATCATCTTTCCCTAAAACTCAAATGAGGAAATTCTCACTTAACCTTACTAACTTGTTCTCCCAGGTTTACCAAGGTCACAAACACTGAAGCCCCCAGAGGGTGAGAGGGGCCCAGTAGACAAATGCTTTAGCAGACTCTCTCTGGGGGGAAGAATTCTGTTGTGAGTTCCATAGTGACCAATGTCTTCGCTCTGAAGCAAATTTAGCTTCAATTTTTGTGTTCTAAATTTTTCTGCTGAGTTCTCCCTCACCCCATTTGCTTAACACATTTTAGAAATTCATCAAACTGTCTTATTTTCTGATTGTATCCTTTCCTGCTTACCCGGATTCTTACAGCTTCCTTTCTCTGCATAAACATTTTTCTGTCACATCAATGAAATTCGGAGGACAGGAGCTTAAACTCATACCCGTAACATTCCATTTTGAACCTCAGGTCAATACTATAAATTACATTTTCAGCTATGATTTTCCACATAGACATTGGGAATAAATTTTTTTGCACAATTTTGTTCAATTCCAGCTACTTCCATACTCAGAAGATTTTAACGAAGAAATTGCTGTGTCCCAATACCAATAAAGCAATTTGACTCTCATAATTTTTAACACCATCAATCCCTTGTCACCCATTTAAAGATCAAATAAAAAAATAAAAAGTCTGAGTTGGGGTGAGAGGCAGAGGGAGCAAAACTTCTATTAAAATACAAAACTGGAAAATGATATAACAAAGCTGTTAAACAAAGTAGTTTTTATTTCTCTGTAGGAGAGATTTAATCAAACTTAGTGGACAAATGTAGCACAAAATGGGTTTGTAGCCTCTTGGAGATAATCAAGCAGTGCAGGATACTGCTTACCAGCACCTGGCCTAGACTCAGAATGGAAGGACTCTTAGCTCAGATGCACCACTAACTAACCGTGTGACTTTGAGCAAGTATTTAACTTTTCTGACAATCAGTTTCATCTGTCTTCTATAAAATACAGTAACAGTGTCTACCTCACAAGGTGACAAGAGGTTTCAATAATACATGAAACACTGAAAATAAGGACTAGCACATAATTGCTCAATAACTATATCCTAAGATTTTCTAAGATTATTAAAACTGTTTTTCTCAGAAAGTACGGATGTAGTCCTGCCTTGAAACAGTACTACAACATTAATTCCAGTTACAAGATTCTCTAGAAAGCTGTGTTGTAGTGAGTAAAATATTCAGCTCTGCAGTACCTAGTGTGAAAACTCAAGAAAAATGACTGAAGTGTTTTGTATTGGTCTTATTTGTAATTTGTATTATTTTCTGTCTGGCAGAATGCAGAGCCAGAACTTGCAGACTCTGCCAATACAAAATTTGTGGTTTTAATTTTTTATCATGTGCCACAATAAAATGATTTTAGATGAGAAACTTGGCATTTTTTTGTTATATAAAATTTTCACCGAAAAATATAGGAAGAAGATTAAAAAGAGTTGGTTCTAAGGCAGACTCTTTAAAAGCAAAAACCCACCATCTGTAGCGGGAGGACTTCATAAAACCCAGGGGTGTCATCTTACCCAACTGTCAACACTAGGAAATGTGCCAAGGGGACAGATGCTAAAATTGGAAAGTCTCATCTAGGGCGTGACATCAGAGTTCTATAATTTCTCTCTAAAAAGCATCAGTCACCAACACAGCAACAAAGTATTAAGGAGAAAACAAAACCACCCTCCTTGATGAAGAATGGCTTCCATTAAATAGTTATACTACTAAAATTTTTTTAACAAAAATGAACATACTGGTTTGTGGGATGGGAGGTAAAATCTGTATTGAGCTAGTTTCCAAGAGACCAGGAGGCTTTTTTTTTTTTATTATTGGCAACAACAGGGAACATATGATCAATAAGGAAAATAATAACAGAAGCCATTACCAAAAATAATTTCCATGACAGTGCAGAGTCAAAGAAAAACAATAAGGAAATCTCTCCTGCTGTTTTAACAATACCCTGACCTGATAATGAAAACTGATAACTCAAAGATTGCAATCAGCATCAAAAATGGAAAACAATCTATAATTAGCAATATTACATGGGGAATCAATGGTCCAGAAAAACAGATATCTTTCAGTAAAACATATTTCATGCTCATTCAAGAACTGTTGAATTTGGATTTTCACTCCCATTAAATTTTCACTTCTATCAGAAAAGAAATTTGGCTTTTAAGATTCGAGAGTTTTCGGCTGTTTTCCAGCCAGGCTGAATCTGAAAGTGGACTTGCAGCTTTAATATATAAAGCAGAGGTTGCAAGCTTCAAGTGTGTGCCGAACAAGTAACATGAATGGGTGAAGCCAACTGTGTGAGAACTATAGGACCCCAGACAGTGATGCCCGAAGTACAGGGAATGGATGCCACTTAGCTGCATGCTAGAAAGCAAGCCTGGTATTGTCAAATCTCATTTTTTTAAGGGAAAGTTTTATAAAATCCACACTTGTATTTGAATCACCAAGTTATGTAAGTGTTGGAAGAAAGAAGGAAGGAAGGGGAGGAAGGGGAGGGAGGAAGGAAGGAAAGGAAAAGAAAAGAAAAGATAAAGGAGATAAATCAAGCATTATTTTAAAACCATGGGTGCCAAATACGACAATAAACTAAATCGAACACACAGGTTACCAGATGGTAATCTCAGAAGGGTTTCCATTATAATTAAAGCGCATAAGGGTAAATATAGCTGTTTTGTTTGTTTAGCTTTGTTTGGAGAGTATGATGATTTAACCATACATGCCCCCCAAAATCACATGACTTTTTAAAAGAAGATAAGGGCCTGTGATTTGCAAGTTCTGTTCAGTTTTTTTTGTTTTTTTTTTTTTTAATCATGTGTGTATACAAAAGATCTAAACTGGCTAAGAAAAACAAGATTATAAAGCTTTATTCAGCACCCTAATATCAGAAACAGTGCTAGATTTCTCAAAAAAAAAACAAAAGAAAATGAGAGAAATCTAGTAGCTATTAGTTTTACTTCTAAAAGGTAGAAGAATAATATAAATTTGGGGACACCTGGGTGACTTAGTTGACTGAGCCATCTGCCTTCAGCTCAGGTCATGATCCCAGAGTCCGGGGATCAAGCCCTGCATGGAGCTCCCTACTCTGTGGGGAGTCTGCTTCTCTCTCTTCCTCTCACCCTGCTCATGCTCTCCCTCTCCAAACAAATAAATAATAAATCTTTTTTAAAAAAAGAATAATATAAATTTCTATTTTTGTTTCAGGTGAGAACAACAAATATAACCCAGTCTGGTTGTTGGTTGGCTTATTCAGTGTTTCAGAGGAAAATAAAATCATGAATAATGACTGTGTTTTAATGAGATATGAACCACCAAATACAAGTCTAATGAAAGAGATTCAAATAAATATATCTTTCTTTCTCCTTTTTAGTACATGAGTAAAAACAAACACCACCAATAAAAACACATCAAAGGGAAAAATGAATATAAAGGCTTCCAAAGGTGAATATTTTATAAGTTTAAACTGCTACTTCACTCCAGGAAACCCTTATTACCCACTTTTGCTTATTTCATTCTAAGGAAAATTGACATGGTAATTTTCTTACCATCAGCCAGACTTTTCCATTTCTATATTTCACTGCTTCTCATTTCTATTTACAGAAAAGGAAACTCATATATCTATATATATATACTATACTAACATGACACAATGCCATATTATTCAGTTGCTGAACACAAATGAAAATACTGGATTATTTCTCAAATATCAAAATAAAGGCAGAAAGAACATATTTGTCAAAACATATATGGCAGATTATATCTTGAAGTATTAGCTTGAGTGCTATAGCTTGAGTACTATTCTGTATATTTGTGTGTGTTCTTGCCAACACAGAATATTCTACTCAATGCCCCACAAAGTACGAGGTTTTGACTCTGGCTGGTAGGAACAAGAACGCTCCCTGGGCTTGTGTGATTTCCAGCTACTCTTCCCTCTTAACACTTCTTGAGTGATTTACTCCCTAGCCTTGGGTAGCTTCCTCAAGCACATGAGTTGAAGATTATAGACCTCCAAAACTCTATCTCTTTGTTGCTCTCTTCTCTCAGGTAGTCTACCTCATGAACAATAGACACTTTGACCTCCCTGGGCTCCCCACGCTTCCCCTCAACTGAGGGAAACCTCCAAACTCTACCTGGGTGACTCCTCCCTGCTCCACAATCTGGAAACCGTGCAGGCGGCAAGCAGGGGCAGTCCTAGGGCTCACCTCATTTGCCTCCTGTCTCTCAGGGATCATTGCCATTGCCCTTCCTCATCTGATAGCCAACGTCCTGAAACTTGTTGTTTAATATATTTTGTCCTTTTTTTGATGTGTCGGGTGAGAGAGTATACTGTGTTCCTGTTACGCCATCTTTGCCTCATGTTATTTTTCTTTTTCTTTCATGGATATATAATTTAGAAGAATCTCGGGCCTCCTGGGTGGCTCAGTCAGTTAAGTTAAGCATCTGCCTTCAGCTCCAGTCATGATCTCAGGGTTCTGGGATCCTGGGATCCTGGGATCCAGCCCCTTGTGGAGCGTGGTGTGGAGCTCCCTCTTCACAGGGAATCTGCTTCTCCCCCTCTCCCTGCTTATGCTCTCTCTCTCTCTCAAATAAATAAAAATTAAAAAAAAAATAAAAGTAAAGAGTAAGAATCTGTCCCCCCCCCCACATTCATTACCCTTTACAATTCCTATTTATTCATTAAATATGCACATTGCAAACCTTCATGGGGCGGGGGGGGGGGGGGAAATAGTACTAGAATAAGTTAAACCAGGGTGTCCACAAGCAGAATCCAATATTATGTCTTCTTGTTTCTGTTTTGTTGCTTTTTATTTTTACTTAGGAAAGTATTTTTGCTTTTCCTTGGGACTAGTGACTCCCTGTCACTTTCTCCCACTCTAAAAAAGCAAGAAATAACGGCAAGGAGGTAAGAGACTTCTTATTGTTTTGGAGTCTGTTTTGACTGCATCAAGAGCTGAAATGCTTACATTTGTGATTTAGTATACCAGCCAATGTGTCCTGAGTTCAGGAAAACCATATATAGTTTACAGCAATGAGAGAAAAAGGAACAAAGGAAACAAACTCCATAAAAGATTCAGGAGACGCTGAGTTTCCAGAAACTAATGTCATGATAATACACTGTATACTGTGCCCTGGGATATTAATAGAAACACAGTAGCCTTTTCTTTACAGTCAAGAATTATAGAATTCAAAATTGAACTTATTACATATTTTACTGTATCAAATTAAAAGGATAGAGCTAAAACTGCTTAAGCCATACCATAGTATCTTTTTATTAAACAGACGAAAGCCAATCACTCAAAATCAAATTTTCTCAGTTTCTGTTCTCTTTTGCTTCTTCTCAAAGATATTAATGGAGATATAAAGTGAAATATACACCAAGCATGACTTTCTTCAGAATTTTTGACCGTTCCAAAAGACATAAATATTAAAATGGTAATTAAATGAAGTCATCTATGATAACATAGAAAGGAAAAATTAAATCTTCAGAACAATTGGCAATGTCTCTATAGATGCCTAGTTCTACTTTCAAATTGGCCTTCTTAATATTCAAAAACGGTTTGTACTCGCATCAATAATTCAAGCAAATTTAATTAACTACATCCCAGATGAAAACAGAATAATGTAAGATTTTTACTAAATGTATTTCCAGGGATTTCCCTTCATGTTGGGAGAAAAGCTGCCACATAATTAACCTATTCTTACCCTGGGAGGAGGACTGTCTTGGGATCTCAGACAGTTTGTGTCACCAGGCCCCCAACAGGGACGCAAAGCGCAGCGAGCTAAAGCCGGCACTATTCCTTGACGAAATATACATGGAACTTGTTTCTTGAGCAGCCTGAACTTATGGATAGGAAAAATGTCCTTTTTTCCCGTTTTCCTGCCTTTCAGGTCATTCTGTGGGATCTCAATTCTTCAGTAAATGATAACATTTCACCTTTTGGGTAGCCTTTGGGTGAAGAGCAGTCCTTTGCTGATCATTACAATTCACTTTTACTACTAAATGGTTCTCATTACAATTCACTTTCATTACTAAATGGTTCGGTCTCATCGAAAATCAAACTTCTATCTCCTGTGTAATTTTTTTTAGTTCACATCAGCAGGGGCATGTGGTCTGATCCTTCTTCACTCTGTCTCCTTCTTCACCCTCTGAGTCGGCTTCTTCTGTGGGACCTGAACGGACACTGGGAGGAGGGATCAGAGCGAGAGGAGTGAAACACTGGTGCGTCTGGTTCCAGCTGGTCTAGCACAGCTGGCTATCTTGCTCTCCATTCTAGCAATCACAACTGCTGGTTCTTTTATAGAACACGTATATGGTGCGGGGTGGTTGGGGAGGGGCAGGTTGAGGTGCCTTACCATTTCTTATGATTGGTATTTCACTAATTCCCTTTCTTTGTTGAGGCAGGCAGGTGGGATATAACGACTTTTTAGAAAAAAGTCAGGGGTGCCTGGGTGGCTCAGTCAGTTAAGTATCTGGCTCTTGGTTTTGGCTCAGGTCATGATCTCAGGGATCTGGGGCTGAGCCATGTGTCAGGCTCCCCGCTCAGCAAGGAGTCTCCTTGTCTCCCCCTTTCTCTGCTCCCTGCCATCTCTCTCCCTTTCTCTCTCTCTCAAATAAATAAATAAATCTTTAAAAAAGAAAGAAAGAAATTTCAGACCATGGGGAATCACCCCAGATTTTCTTATGTTAGAGTCTCCCCACCTCCAGCAGGCAGCCTTCTTGGGCAGGATTCCCCTCAGGATGGCTGCAGTCCAGCTGCTTCCTCTAATACGCAGTTAGCTTATGGCAAACTAAGGCATCCTTGCCATGCCTTTCCAGTCCTGTAGGTTAGGTCTTTCCAGTCCTATAGAATTCTGTCACCTCAAGCATCTCCAGCAAATTTCCAAGAATTCCCATGAATTCAGTATGTGAGAAGCAAATATAAATTTATATTAGAGGTGGATTTATCATAAAGATAAAGGAGTTGAAGCTTAGCAACCCCCCCCCCTTGCCTGGGCTCGATCCAAATCTCTGGAAAGGGTCTTAACAATGTGTTCATATAATTAAAAGTTGTAAAAGTTGCAAAACTAATGGAAAGAGTAATATAATTAAACCACCTATTGAATAAGCTCCAGGTCCCACAAAATTTGGATCTTCTCTATATTCATTTATGTTCACTGAACTGCAAGAGGGACAAACACGTGTCAGCTTCTCTAGGAACTCTCATTAGGATTTCTCCTCATCAATCTTCTATGGGATAGGGTGGACAAATGCTCCAGGATAACAAACTCCCCAGGAGGCTGACAATCTACATTAATAAATCTCAATAATTTCCTTCAAAATGGAAGTTGGCAATGGACACTAATAGTAACTGAACCATTCGTTTTGCTATTTTTTTCAAAATCCTACATAAATATATCGAGTATCTCCTTTATGTATAAACAGCACATATCAGTAATTTCAGCTTTGGCGTTTCAGCTGTAAAATGCAAGGCAATAAGGAAATTTTCATGTAACTCCCTATTATATATGTATTCACCTGAGACAGCACAGGCGGATATCACTGACTCAAGCCTCCTCAGCCATCTAAAACAGCTTCCACTTAAAATAATAATGAGAAAAATATTCAGGAGGATACATTAACATTGTATATTTTATTTTATTTTCCTGGAAAAAAAAAAAAGAAACAACTCTTTTTCTCTTGAAAGAACAATAGAAACAAAGCTGACAGTTCGCCAAAATTTTATTATAGCTCAATGAAAAGCAAAACACTGTAGATAATTTTGCAGAAGGTAAGAATCTGTAGTTTTTAAATTT